TGGCTGTGACCAGCCTCCCCAGGGCAGCAGGCCCGTGGGCGGAGCAGCGCCCTGGGGACCATGAGTCCTGCTGGGAGGCCTCTTCCCCCCGGGGCCCCGCTCGGCTCCCAGACGGCAGCTCGTCTACTCTTGTTCCCGAGCGTGACCCAGGTCTGAGCTGCTCAGAACCACGGGTGCAGCCCGGCCGGTGGCTCAGGGGTGAGCGTCGGCCTAGGAACCAGGAGGTCAGGGTTCGATTCCGGTCAAGGGCACGGGCCCGGGTTGTGTGCGGGCTCCATCCCCAGTGTGGGATGTGCAGGAGGCGGCCGATCCGTGATTCTCTCTGATCACGGATGTCTCTCCCTCCCTCCCTCCCCCTTCCTCTCTGACAATTAGAACATATTTAAAAACAAAAACCCACTACGGTGCCTGAACTCCTGCTGCCCGAGGCGCCCGGACAAGGTGGTGTGGGAGCGAGGGGCTGGTGACAGACAGCGCTCGCCTCTCCCTGTGGACAATCGCAGGTGTGCCCTGCAGACGCCCGGGACTCCAGTCCTCCCAACGCCTGGCCCCCTGGCCCCTGCGCCCGTGCCATGATCGAGCCCGCACGCACCTTGCTCCCTGGAGATGTCCGCCTTGTACCAGAACTTGGAGGTGTCCTGCACAAAGCTTACCGTCACCTGCTTCTCACCTGGGTTTTCTGCAAAACGGGGTTGAAACGGGCGCTGTGAGGAGCGCTGTCACCAGCTCTCACCTCCCGGGGGCTGAGGGTCGTGCCCCCCGGGCTGATGGGGGTCGGGCACGGGCTGGGGGTGAGACACGGAAGTCGGGTCCGGGGAACACCCAACAACACATCCTTAGAAAGATGGGGGCTCAGCCGGCCCAAGTGGCTCAGTGGTTGAGCGTCAACCCATGAATCAGGAGGTCAGGGTTCGATTCCTGGTCAGGGCACAGGCCCCGGGGGGCAGGCTCGATCCCCAGTGTGGGGCGTGCAGGAGGCGGCCGATCCATGATTCTCTCTCATCGTTGATGTTTCTCTCTCTCCCTCTCCCTTCCTCTCTGGAGTCAATAAAAAGTCTCTCTTCTATATTTTAAAAAGAACGGAGTTCTTCCTTCATTTTAAAAAAAAAGCAGACAGACAGACGGGCACAAAGCAAGGCCAGCCGTGCTTCCCGGTGCCGAGCTCGTAAGAGTGTGAAAGAACGAACTGGAAAAGAATTCGCTTAATTTGAAACCAAAGTTACTTCTCCAGGCCCTGGTTCCGAGGGAAGGGGGTCGCCCACGGCAGACGCTGCCTCTCAGGGGCAGGGAGGCCCCCGGGACCCGCAGCCGCTGTGGGGAGGACGGTGGGAG